AATAATAATAATAATAATAATAATAATAATAATAATAATAATAATAATAATAAAGCTCAAACTGGCTTTGCATTTTCCTTTTAAAACCCCCAAGGGTCATTGTCATCGTTTCCTTTTTATTTTGTTCTGTTTTGATTCCAAGGTTGTTCTCCCCACAAAACCAATCAATAAAGTTATATAGTACTACATAATATATCCTCTTTGAAACCAATACAGTTGCCCCCTGTCTCGCCCTTCCCCCTCCCCCGCCCTTCCCCCTCTCTCTTTTCCTCTCCGTCCTCTATAAATTAGTATAAACCTGAACACTATGAACTCGGTAACTCTTTCGTCCTTGTTTCCCTCCTTAATCTGCAGGGATATATTATTATATAATATGATTCAGCAGGAATAGTGTAGCTGAATCAACATAATATACGAGCGCTCTATAAAAAAAATGGACTCTATTGACATGTGTTTGGTAATGACTTGATGTTTTTATAATTTGTGTGGAATCAGGCGCTAGTCAATTTTGGGGCATATGGAGTTATCGGTATCATCCTATAGCTGGTTCATTTGTCATGTTTTGGAGGAATCCCCCCCCCCCCCACCTCTACCAAGAATAGAAGTCGAAATATGTGCGTTTGAAGGAGGTGGGGATCACCTTGTTTCAGCGACAAAATTAGCAAGATAATGGCTCCTAAGTTTGGTGAATTCCAAAGCTTGATAGTTCTTGAAAACTGTAAATTTACACTGTTCGTGCCTTTAATCAGTGGCGAAGCGACTATATAATCAAATAATCACTGCTTCCCTTCCTAATTTTGAAACATTGTCGCTATTTGCCCATAAACGTAAACCTCATAAATTAAATGTAAAAAGACGTTCATAATCAACAATGAACAGTATGTCTAACATTCAAAACGGTTTCACGGCCACAGAAATAGCCTGCTCACCCCTCTCGGGCCACTCCATAAGCAGTCGCAAGCTTTGATTAAGTAAGCTTAAAGTGAGGCTGGAAGAGTCTACCAATAGAGTTGAAGGGAACATGTGCATAGCAGTCAAAACTGTTTCATTGCCACATATACCCTGTTCACCCCTTTAGGGCCACAGTTATAAGAAATCACAAGCCCTGATTATGTAAGCTAACAAATGTGAGGGGAACTAACTCCAAATAATCTCCTGACTGCAGCAAGTGCTTGTTTTGTTTCCTCGACTTTTTACAGTCCTATAATCAGATCGTGACCTCGATTATGACACCGGCTCCTGGCCGCGAAAGGCTAGACAAAAAACAGCCAAATGTGAAATTGAAAAAAATTATAATTGGCATGTTCTACCAAAGAGTTAGACTCACTGGTAGATCTATAACATATAGATCTAGTACTGACATCTCTGCTTCTTTGCTTTGTGTTTGTGTATTCACATCTAAAGTTAAATTTAATTTTAGTTGGAACTGATATTTAATAAGATACTTTCCCGATTATTTTGGCGGTTGAACATACAATATGAATTCCGGATTTGTTTTCATTCGCAACTCAGAGTCGCCACCTCGAGTAAGATTCTTGTGTCATATCTACAGGCCATATCTGGTCCCGTTTCAATCTGACTGCCCTGTCAAACAAGTCAGCCTTCGCCCCTGCCTTTAATGAACATTTTCCGATAACATTCACGGATAAATGCGTTTTATAAGGACACAAAAGGTGTGGAACAAAAAAAAAAAAAAAGAGAATTTTAAAACAGCTGCCCAAAACCTAGGAAAATGCCGGTCGCGAGCGCCTGCTTTCACCACAATACCCCACATTTAACACTGGCTATTGCGTAAACCATACCAGTTGATTTCACTTCCTTACTAATGTTTCCTAACCCTAACACGATTCTAAATATCTAATAGAATCACCATCATGGTTACTCGTTATGATATTACTATCGCCCTTATGTTACGATCATCACTGTTAACTCCCATTTTCTTTCTATCTTAATCTTAACTGATATTGCACGAAAGTGGGTCAGCTCTCCATCGAGATTGGACATTGGTCATCACTTCATGAGCAGTGGCCACATTACTATTTTATCACTGTGTTCTTGATCACTGTTCATATCTGGGAAAATCATCAAGGCTCTCGTGCAAGTATTTATCAGGCAAAGAAGATTAAATGTGTTTGTTAACCTTCATAATATCTCCCCAAAACGACAAAATAAGTAAGCGTCTCTTGGCGACGATGCAATAACAATGTGGGGGCGAGAGTGAACAAAGCTAAGGGGAACGTTGAAGGACACAAAGTTAAAAGACTACTTTGTCAGTACTAGATGGCAAATTCTTTCTGTGCTATTCAGAGAAATTCTTGAAAAACAACGGGATATATCATATAATTATATACATATTATACGTGTACAAAGATTTCGAACTCTTAGTATTTTAGAGATAAAGATGTTGTGCGTTATAAATACGCCACTGAGGACAATATTTCAGATTTTGGTGGTTGCAGGTATATTTCTCGTCGGTGTGGTGAGAACCTTTGACGAATGTGAGAAACTGACACCATGTTCTTGCAAGTATGCAGGGGGTGAAATCATCGACTTGTCGCCGTTGTCTGGGAATCCCAGGTAAATTAACATAATTTATGATTGTTTCATTTTGTCGACTGGTAATACAATAAATGTCAAGGGAGAAAGAGAAACTCGTGTATTCAACAGAACCTGGGCTACACCATTAACACAGATAGATAGATAGATAGATAGATAGATAGATAGATAGATAGATAGATAGATAGATAGATAGATAGATGGATAGATAGATAGATAGATAGATAGATAAATAGAAAACGTATGTGTGTGCGTGTGTGCTTGTATGTGTGTATGTGTGTGTGCATCTCTCTGTCTGTGTGTGTGTGTGTGTGTGTGTGTGTGTGTGTGTGTGTGTGTGTGTGTGTGTGTTTATGTGTGTTTATGTGCCTTCGTGTGTGTATGTGTGTGAATGGGTGCCTTTATGCGCAAGTATGGATGTGTATGTATGAGCGTGTGTGCCTGTGTGTGTATGTGAGTGCGTATATATATGTTTATGTAGGTGGTGTGTGTGTGTGTGTGTGTGTGTGTGTGTGTGTGTGTGTGTGTGTGTGTGTGTGTGTGTGTGTGTGTGTCTGTCTGTTTGCGAGTGTGTGTGCATACCGGTGTGTGCTCATGTTCACGCAAGTCCTCTTTTTTATGTGTCTGCTAGATGTCCCAAAACCTAAAAAGCTGAGCGTCTTTTTTGTTTGGTTTTAGTTTTGATTGTTTTTTTTTACGTTTTGATAATTATGTAGCAAAGTATTTGAACAAAATATATATTTGAAGGATGCAGTCCTTTACAAATCATGATACGTAGCTTTCATTTTATCCTTAACCTCTGTTTAAAGTGGCGTTAATTTCATTAGGTGGTCAGACCAGTATGATACCCAGAAGGAGAACAAGTACTCCTACAACCCCTGCAAAGGGTTCTCTGAAGGCACTTGCACTGACGTCTCGGTGAGTAGCGAGTTTGAATTAAAAAACCGAATAGCACTGTTGATATGAGGTGTCGGGGTGAAACCAGCGCTCCGTCAAAATAATGAAATCGAAGAAACCGGTATTTTTTCCTGCCAGTTTTGCAATTATAATCGAGTTTTAGTGTCTTTGCCCAAACACCTTTTTATCCATAAAAGTAACACATTATTATCTGAGTTCATTTTACAAAAAGTCGTTGATTTAAGGCACTGAAATGTGAACTCTCACGCTCCAAGGACTCTCAAGCTATGGAAGTCACCAAATTTAGGCGGTTAATTTCTCGCTAAGTTTATCTCTGAAATAAGTCAACTCCCACCTCCTTCAATTGCAAATATCTCGACACCAGTTCAAGATAGATGGGTATTTTTAAAAAAATCGAAAGCAGGACAAAATGAACGAAATTTAAAATGACACCAATAACTCCACATGCCCAAAACTGACGAGCGCCTGATTCCACCGCGTTGTGAAATATGTAAAGACATTTCATTTTTTGTGTGTGTGTCGTTTCTGCCCCAGGAAACAAACTAAAATAATAATTGCCCTGAAGTTGCAATACTTATTAAAAGATCAGTCGAGGAAGGGGTGTTTCAAATTCGGATTGGAGATATCTTTTCAATAATTTAGCTCCGTCTATTTGACATTCTTTCACATCACATTCTAGGGATACAAAGTCGGTGGCAAAGTTCAAGATTCATTTGAACAGCATGTTTCATGAAAGACCATGTTGACTTATATTCCCTCTTATCAAAGTACATAATATGTCCATATGTACATTTGGTCATTAATTGTATTATGATAGCACCCACGTGTAGCCTATGGGTCTCTGTATTTGTTTGTGTTGATCAAAACAGAGCATAGATTTATGTACATGTTTTTATGTTAAGAGGAATTATATATTGTAAAGCGCCTTGAGCTTTATTTTATCATTATTATTATATTTTATTTTATTTTAAAAAATTATTATTATTATTATTATTATTATTATTATTATTATTATTATTATTATTATTATTATTATTATTATTATTATTATTATTATTATTATTATTATTATTATTATTATTATTATTAAACAACGTTCCGAAACAGTCAATTATGTGTTTTGTCTTAAAGTATTATAAAGGTCTAATCGCCCTTTTTAACAGTAAGCATACGTGGCTGTTTTCGAGGTCTTCAATTAAAAGTCAGGCTCTGTTGGAAACCAAACATTACGTGTGAAAATCAAAGACATTACCTGGCGTAGTTTATATATTCAAGAAGGCTTTCTTTGGGATTCACACCAGAGTCCGCTGCACAGCGAGTTTAGCATAATATCAACTGAGATGAAAACCCACTTTCTCTTCTTTCGCTGGGGTTTGGGAGCGAACTGCATTTTGATCAAAAGTCACAAAATGAAAAGGTAGGTAAAATATCATTCACCGTGTGGTTTCTAACATTCTCCTCGACTGAAGTTGCATAACTGTCGAATCATTTGTAATGGCCAAGACCTTTCGTCTCAAACATGTTGTAATGGAGATTGAGATTTGGCGCTCATATGACCTTATGCAGTTGCGAGCGCCGTAAAACCTCTACTAAAACAAGGAGATCGAGATGAAAGACTGAGATAGGACCAGTGTCACTCCAGGACAGGAGATGTTTTCATTCAACTGATGTGACCCAGGGGCTCTCGTGGCCTAGAGGTTAAGGTGTTCGCCTCTCATTCAAAGGTCCCGGGTTCGAATCCGGATAGCGACGGAAACATTTTCTTCTCTAAAATTGTCTCATTTCACTTCCTTTCCTGCTCTCTAGCAATATTCTGCCGTCTGCTTTCGTCTTCACTTTCTGCCCCCATCCCATCACCTCCTTTGCCCCCTCCTCTGGGCTCCTGACCCTTTCTGCAGCCTTTCTACTGCTATTCCTTGGCTCCTTACTGCTGTCTTCCAGCCATACCCCTGATCCTCTGGAAGGAAAGATCTACACCTAGCCTTCTCGGATAAGGCCAGAAATTTCGGAGGTCCCGTGTGCAAGTTCCGCACGTTAAAGATCCCTTGGTGGTATAAAATCGATAAGGATAGGCTTCGGCCGCCAACTGAAAATGTTTAATTTGTACCTCGAGCTCATACGAGTATGATCATATGACCTTAAATATGACCCTTCATAAAGTAATTTTGATCTGAAGGCTGTCTGCTGTTTCCTTCTCAATTTACCTTACGCTGTTGGAGAGAAGTGCGAGGAGTAATTATTCAATGTATAGTATGTATGACTCGTTTATTCTCACGGTCGCCAGATTTGCCAGAACACAGGCGACAGTTATTATGAATGTGGGACACAGGAAAGCGCAGTTTTCCTCACCAACCCACAGACAGGGGAACTCTCGGTTATCTACGAGAGCACTGACACTTTCAACACCACCAGGTAAGGACGGTTCGACCCAATGTGTAACATTATGTGATTTTTGTTAGCATACATCCATTTTTTCTCCAACTATCTGTACCACGTTCAACATCTTATCACTCCTTCTCTAAGCAAAATCTGTCTTTGTCTCGCTCTTTTTTCCGCTCTCTCTCTATTTCTCTCTCTTTCTCTCTGCCTCTCTCTCCCCCGTCTCTCTCTCTGTCACTCTCTCTCTGTCACTCTCTCTCTACCCCCTCCCTCTCTCTCTGAGTCTCCCTTTGCCTGTCTGTCTGACTGTCTGTCTGCCTATCCCTCCATCTCCCTGCCCCTCTCTCTCTTTTTCTCCCCTTGTATATCTCTCTCTCTTTGCTCTCTCTCTCTCTTTCTCTTTCTCTCTCTCTCTCTCTCTCTCTCTCTCTCTCTCTCTCTCTCACACTCTCTCCCACTCACGCAGTACAAGCGTGTTTTTATTAGTGTGTATGCTCGAGCATTTTCAGTGTGTGTAAATGTGTGAAGAGGGTATGGCCACCTGTGTTTTCATTATCTGCTTCACTCAATATATAGCCTCATCAACTAACAATAACCTCACCTTTTCTCTTCTGTAAATAAAAATGAATATTTCCGGCGGCCATGGGTTTGCTACTGTTCCAAGAACTGGCATGCCATTCATAGACTAAACCGTTTCTTCAAGAATCGCTTTGACTCTTTTTGAGTTTGATTTTTAAAAATGTAAAGGTTTTGTAGGCTTTTTAGCTTCCTCAGCCTCTCCTACAACTATTTCATCGCATAAAACCCCCCCAAAACCGTATTTTTTCCCATACCAGGCAAGTTTGTAACCGCCATTTCCTCATAACGTCAGTATTTTATTTTTCTTTATCGGCCGTTTTCTCAAAACGCGACTTTTCTCTATACTTTTTAAAATAACTCCACCATTTTTCATCCAATCTTCATGAAATTTTCACAGAATGAAGAGAAGAGGTAATACTAAAATTTTTTGTTGAATTTTTGATATATGGAATAGATTTTTGTTGGTGGTGTCTGGAGTGTGGATTTTCACGGATTTTTCGTAAACTTGAATGCTACCTCAGGAAAATATTCATTAAAAATTTTCTAATTCGTTTAGGAAAAAAACAACAGACTAATTTTTAGATCTAATGTTTGTGAACACGCTTGCAGAAAAAAAAAAAACCCAATCAATTTCCATGAGCGATAAGTGCGGTATTCATTACGTAAGACATGTCAATAAAATCCAATATGGCGGCGTATCCATGGAAACGAAACTTTTTTCTCAAATTTGACTGCGGATTTTAAGACTCCTTACTATGCTTGTTATATGTGTAAAATTTGGTAAAATTCGGTCCAGTAATAAGCGAGATAGCCTCCAGGTGTAGCCCCCCCCCCATAAGTACGTCACGTTCACCTCCCTCAGGTTCACGGTCACAGAGTTACTTAAAATAGCGACAAGACAATGAACCAATCACCATTCACTTGAGCACTCCTCTGGATTGCTCCGGGGCCCACATAATTTTGGCATGGAATAGTGCATAGTCTATGGCGTTTATTTTTAGATTGCCTACTGTGGGCTATGTTTCGGCGCTATTCGGCAGGAGCACATTTGAGATGTGCCGTCTTATTAATATTAATGTACCGTCAAACTCTCTACAAGTGTCGTCATCGCTTGGGTTATCCCAAAGAGCGATTTATAGGTCAGGTTTCCACTGTTGGCTATCCTGTTATGTTTAGATACAGCGCATGAACTTAGGCATGGCATAGTAGATGTTTTACGGCGCTATAGAATAGAAATGACAGTTACGGCGCCAGCGAGGGCCTTGTTTTGATATAATATTTGGCTAATGTTTGTTTCTGGCGTTTTTTATTTTATTATTGAGGGTGCTTTACGTCATAGAACATTAAAAAATTTTGGGCGGCACTGCACGATCGTGCTCTATGGAGGAACCGCATCTGAAGTAGATGCATCTAAAAACAACTTTTTTATGTCGACGGAGGTGATGAAACTTAAAACTCCAACCTTTCAGAACGAGCCAAGTGTACCTACAATGTGCCGAGGAGGACGCCCCGGACAGTTTTGTGGCTGCTGGAGAAACAGCTCCAGGGTCTGGCCTTTACGTAAGTGACTGAAATATTTCTGTTAAGCCAGAAGAACAGTTATGCCTGGTTTTACCTATGCAGTACTACTAAGGGTGTCTACGATATAAGGTAGAATTGTCCTTTTACATTGGGGTTACATTGTAAGAGTCTGAATCGAAGAGAGGTGGGTAATTACGTCTAATCTATCTTCAGGCACGTACACGATATAGCATGGATTCAATAAAAATAAGTTTCTAGGGAGTGAAAAAAATGCTAAGAAAAGTTTAACTTTAAAATTATAAAAGGCAGTGCTAAATATTATCGAGGAAGACGCTTCAATGTGTCGTCACTTAGGTACATCCGCGAGCTAGAAATTATTATCTGTGTATGAACTATTTTTGAAGGCAACTGTAACTGTACATCGGCGATTGACAAATTTAGATATGCGATTCTGGAATTGTTTGCAACATACCACTGTTGGAGCATCACAAGCATATTATGTCTGCCCCTCAAATTATCAAGTAGGTGGTCAAAGTACCAGGATTATGAATGATTGTGTACAGCTGGTATTGTTGTAATAAGCGTTTCCACCGCGGGGAATAATTGCAGCCTCCTTATCAGTCATCTGTTTTCTTTCTTTCTTTATTAATTATACTGTGCTCCCTTACATTGATGCTGTCTTGAATTTATTGTCTCTTTAATTCGTTACCAGCTATTTACCCTGAGTAGCCCTCACTGCTGTGCAAAAAAGGATTCTGATGACTCCAGCGACCTTTCTATAGGTACACTCATCACCATTGGGTAAGTATCTATCATCTCATCACCGTAGAGTAAGTAACTAAGATCTCATCATCATAGGATAACTATTTCCTCATTACCATAGGGTAGGTAACTGTCATCTCATCACCAGAGGGTAACTATCATCACATTATAATTTGGGTAAGTAACTATCATCTCTTTACAAAAGGCTAAGTAACTACCATTGCATCACCATAGGGTAACTATAATTTTCTCATTACCATAGGGTACGTAACTTACTATTATCTCATCGCCATAGTGAACGTAACTACCATCCCATCACCAGAGGGTAACTGTCATCATAGACAGCTTTTTTTCAGAGACAAATAGGCACGTCTGAAATCTGAAGAGTACCTTTCCAATCAAAAAGAAAATAGAAACCTCTTTTTCTAGTGTGGGGCAGATTTCGATTGTCAGGCTCTACTGAGAATGCCTTCAATATGTAAACCTGAGGCGACACTTACGGTAGAAAACTATGCATCGCTATGCCAAAACGGATGCGTGTATTACTGCAAAAGATGTAAAAAAGACGAATGACATAAATTATTAGAGTCTGCAAGAAAACTATACCGCATCCATCCATCCGTCCACTCACCTACCAACCCAACCATCCATTCATCTATCTATCTATCTATCTATCTATCTATCTATCTATCTATCTATCTATCTATCTCTATGATTACAATGCTCATTGCCTTTTTGCAAAGAGAACCTTCATAACAAGCTGGTCATATTTTGTTTCAGGGTTGGTATTTTAGTCATAGTATACGTTGTGGTGGGCATTATCATACAAAAGTTTATGTTGCACAAATCTGGGAAAGAAGTCTTGCCAAACTACGATACCTGGTCAAGATTACCCAGATTAATCAAGGTAAGTGTCTGTTGGAGTGGGGGGGGGGGGGGAGAGACCAAAACAAAGATCCAAAAGAAAAGCAAACTAAATAGTGTTTTACATTATTCAGTCATAAACATTCAGCTCGAAGAATGGTTAATGTGAGAGAACGTGTAGGAAGAATCACTTTTCTTGTTTGTCTCAAGTCATTGTTAGAAATGAAAGTGGGGGAAGGGAAAGGAGGGGGGGGGGTACTTTTCATCAAAGTCCCATGTTGATTGTTCTGCACTGTACAATTTGACATGGTGTTAATGGTAGAGGCAACCCTTATAATGGCTGATTTTGGGTTAAATCATGAAATTCGTATTGTTTACAAATAAGCCAAGTTCAGTCACGTCTGCATCTAAAAAGTAAGGACAAAATTGAATAACATTTCATTGTTGTCATAATTTGCCTTTGAATAGATGAAAACAATTAAGATTTGGCAAATTTCTACCAGAAACATGATTTTTTCACAAAACAATGATTTGGTGCAGGTTTTTTTCCCAACTACTTATACATTCCTCCTCTTATCTGCATGAAAGTTTAAGGATACGTTCAGTGTGTAAAAAACACACTTGCAGAGAGAAGTAAATTCGAAAATTCTATACGTTATATGACCTAAAACAACTCATATGACTAAAGAAGAAAGGTTACATGCTACATATGTCAGTAAAATTCCCCCAAAAGCATTTTTAGGAACACATTTTGTAATAAGCAGAGGTACACTCTTTACAGGTTTGGGAAAATTAGGTCGAGAAATATAAAATCCTAAGGGATTTATTTCACGATGTTTATTTTCAAGATGGCCGCCATTTCCATAGTAACCGTTGCAAGCAGGCAAGATTTATACTAGAGGACTTTTGTAAAATCTCAATATATCTATATCATACATGTAAAAAGGTTTCATCTCAGATTCCTACTTTAGAAAATGGGTACCAATGTTCGCCCCTATCCATAGTGGGATTCTATTAGTTGAATTGTTAAGTGGATAATAATATAACTGTAATTTCGCTTTCTGTGATCCCTGGGGAAATTATGGGTTACATTGCCAAGTGCAAGCAATAAATAAAACCACGCAGAAGTTACTTCAACATCACATCATATGATTCAAACATCACACAGACAGTTTTATCGGCATGCCACTGCAGGTAGCCACTATGCAGCGCCTTATATCGATCGAGAGTCATTACTCAAAGGCTCACCCTTGTGCCCACTCACCAGAACGACTTGTCACCGACACATCTTGACTTAATATGTGAGTCTGAACTCACTAACCACTTGTTCAGTAGAACTCGAAGAAGATTGAAAGTCAAACCAAATTCTAATATTGTTTTAACCCACACGTTAAGACAGACAGCTTGTCCTTATGAATCATCATTGATGTACCCCAAATAAACTGTAAAACGGTATATCCGCAGGATGGCATCATGTATACCGTGAGATGCGGGAAGACAGGATCAGACTACGAGAACCTTGACGGCTGAATGCTGCTGAGCATTATTACAAGGAAAATCTGTAGGGAAAATGTCCCCTATCATACCATTGTTTGGTGATCAAGAGACCTACCTCGAAAATGTAGTCCTATTCTATTGTTTTTCTTTTGATCTACTGTTGTAAGGAACATAGTTAGGTCAGAAAAAAGAGGCTATAAATTGTACTAGAGCTCGCGGCCTTGACGTCACTCATGTAAACCAACGGGGGCTGCGTCCATGACTGTGACTTACTGTGAGAGAAAGAACCATACAGCGCCGTCCCTTGCGCGTCCCTTGCACACCTACTATAATAAGTCTTCATAGAATGTGGAGCGTTGAGCTCAAAATGAGCACTTTGGGTTTTTAAAAATATTTTTTGTTGCTGTTCTTGTTTGATTATGCAACAATGTACGTGTATACAGAATACTGCATCTACTGACCAATTGTGGGAAACATTAATGCCCTTAAATGTGTACTACAAATGAACGATAGGCGATTTTATATAATTTTGAGGTAATATTTGCTGGTTCTTCCGGGGTGGGGAAACAAAGTGAGTGACTGAAATTGTTAATAAAACTAACACTCTAATACTTGCAAACTGGATTGCTTTTCCTTCGTCATGTTGTCTTAACTCCTTCTACTGGTACAGTGTGATGCTTGTCTTTGTCATTTTAGACGTCGTGTTCCCATATCTTTGTGGATGTATCTGTCCCTGAACAGTTTTTTTTTCAAGATGGTGTAACATCATCTGGCAGATGACCTTGCACAATTCCTTCATTATGTGATGGACGTGGCTGCCTTCGGTGGCGATATGCTTTGTGTTCATATTATGATCCCATATCTCGGCGAACACAAGGCTGCTGACTAACACATGATCTCAGGAACATGCCTGCCTTGTGGTCTGGGATGAGGAGTCTGGCTTCATGGATCGAACCAGCCCCTCTGTTCCTGTGGGGGCATTGTCGGGAAAGCTCACTATCATATTATTATATACAATGTGTTAGAAAAGATACGTCTTCCACAACTTTGGTTAATGTGTAAACACAGCATGATTGTGGTGTTTGTCAGATTGACAACTTGGTGTCAAGAAAACTTACACTTTACGCAACGGATCCACTTGGTGACACTGCGAGCAATAAAAACCACATAATATGTATTGCATTGCGTGTTGATGGTACTCTGTGAGTGATGTCAGAACTCTTATTAAGAGTTTTAAAACAAGGTTCAATACATAATTCGCTTTGCTCATGTCCCATTTGTGAGAGGACAAAGGCTTAGAACATTAGCAGGCGTTTTAATTTCTTTAAACATAGTTCCAAAATGTGGACTATTTCGCTTTTTGAAATACCAACAAAGCAATCGCAACACAACTTGTGGATACATCTATAGACAAGAATGTTGAATGAAAATCTAAGAAAGTGGCGAGCTTTACATACAACGCATAGGAGCAAAAAAAAGTTATTCTAAATTATAGGTTCTCATTTTTCTTTCTCCGTAGAGTAGAGATATGTGTTAGTTCCAATGTTTTCCAGTCAGCATCCAGAGAGAGAGACAGAGAGAGAGAGAGAGAGAGAGAGAGAGAGAGAGAGAGAGAGAGAGAGAGAGAGAGAGAAAGAGAGAAAGAGGGAGAGGGGGGGGGGAGAATACACACTTACACACACACACACACACACACACACACACACACACACACACACACACACACACACACACTCTCTCTCTCTCTCTCTCTCTCTCTCTCTCTCTCTCTCTCTCTATATATATATATATATATATATATATATATATATCTTCTTCTCGCCCCCCTCTATCTATCTATCTATCTATCTATCTATCTATCTATCTTCTATCTATCTATCTATCTATCTATCTATCTTCTATCTATCTATCTATCTATCTATCTATCTATCTATCTATCTATCTATCTATCTATCTATCTATCTATCTATCTATCTATCTATCTATCTTAGCGATAATGAATGTTGCTGTTAACAAAAGGCCATGAAAAAGAAGATGGATTGATTCTGATCTCTGTTTGCTGTCAACTATTATAGCCCAATCACATCAGGGTTTATTAGTCTATTATCCCCCAACGCGATTGTTGCTCAGAATCCAAAGTCTACGGACAAATGGTAGAGAGCGTAAAGTTGAACATCTCGTAGCAGGCACAGGTTGATCTGTATCATCGCACACAAACAGCGTAACCAATCTTATACTCTGTTTAGCATTAAATGACTTTCTGTTTCAATTGCTATTAGGTCCTTGTAATTAACTCTTACTAAGGAGAAATTAGCTTTGCCAAAGAAACCTAGTGCAAATGAATGTGACACTCATCGTACCATCAGCCTCATAAGCCACGTAAAAAAAAATACTACTTAAAATAATTTTGATGAAAATACGAAATAAAATTCTCCCAGAAATAGCCCAAGAACAGTGAAGATCTATTGAAGGCAAAGGCACTGTAAATGCTGTAAAATATGTCAGCGGAACAACAATAGAACGTGTCATGGAAGTGCAGACAGATCTTCATTTACGCTTTATAGACTACACCAAGGCATTCGACAAACGGAGACACGACACGATCATCGACATGCTAAAAGTCCTCAATATTGACGGGAAGTACGTAAGGATTATCAAGAACATGTACTGGTATCAAACCGCTGCAATAAGAATAGAAAGCGACATCAGCAAATACATACAGATTAAAAGAGAAGTCAGACAGGGATGTGTACTTTCACCAGACTTTTTCTCCCTGAATAGTGAAACAATATCATGACACACATAGAATAAATGCCAGGTATCTCGATAGGGGGACGTAATGTAAACAATTTAAGATATGCAGACGACACAGTCCTAATAACAAAAGATGAAGAACACCTACAAAATTTATTAAATGTCATCGTACAAGAGAGTGACAACATGGGCCTAGGCCTAAATATCAAGAAAACCGAAACAATGGTGATAAGCAGAAAAACTCCAACCCCAACCTACAATATAAAACCAATGATACAACCCTCAAGCAAGTACAACATTTTAAATATTTTGGGAGATGTAACACCAAAATTAAAAGCCGCATTTGCTAAGCAAAAGCAATCTTCCACAAAATGAAACAGATACTCACAGACATCAATCTGTCACTGGAAATCAGAAAAAGAGTAACTGAAATGTTACTCCGAACCAAGCTTAGACAAACAATAAACAGCTGGAAAGAACAATTGAGGCGACAAAGCTATGGTTAATAAGACGCATTCTGTGTAACCCATGGACAGCTAGAAAAACAAATGAAGAAGTCTTGGTTAAAGCAAATTGCAGTCGACAGCTTAAAATGAGGAATATACGAAAGCGACAGGCAAATTTCATTGAACATACAATATGCGGAAAGAAGCATTGGAGAATATTGTAACAACTGGCAAGTTGATGGAAAGAGAGGCAGAGGCAGACAAAGGGAAAGATTACTGGACAAGTTGACAACATGGCTGGGAGCAGCAAGAACAACAGACACCATCGCTGCAACGCAAGACAGATGGAAGTGGAGGACCGTGATCATCCACGCCAGTCCGCAAGGCACCGGATGATGATGATAGAAAAATTGTCAGTTTCATCTTCTTACGGATACATCGTAAGCTCAGTTGGTAGTATGATGAGTTTCCATGTGAGTGACACTGGTTCGAATCCCTAGGGGTAATTTTGAACCTGTTTCCTTTGAGGATTCAGTTTGGCTCTCCAACAAGGTGATTCAGTTTTCTGGGAGATGGATCTTAACTTGGAGATATAACACAATATATCGCTTAATATACACAGTATGTGAAAGAGACTTTAACCCCAAACAAAACAAATAAAAACCGTATCAGTATCAGTGTTCTTGGTATTTCCTCATGACTGAATGAATCAAAACATCTTATTCATACTCGCATGTGTAGTGTCTGACAAAACTGATAATAATTTAACCAATGAAAGACTTAAGGTGTGTACACTTGTCCTACGCCTTTCGATTCCAGCAGCTTCTGAAAAATGGGGGCAACAAATCTGACCAGATTTCAATGGGTTGACACCAGTTTGACACAATACTATTTCATCGCCCACGAGCTGCCAGAAGAAAGACTTTGTGCTTGTGGAAGTCCATTTAAGAAGATCGTCCATTCAGTTTCAACCCTCATTACCAGCCCCCATTATCTAACCACATAATAAACGCCCATTATCAACCCCCATTAACAGGCGTCTGTGGTATAGTAGCTAGTCGTATCGCCGTCGTACACAGAAGACCTGAATTCTATTCCATAGTAATGAGAATTTTTTTTCAGTATCTCTTTTTTCTGCTGGAACTTTGCATTCCTCTCCGCCTGTGTCGGCCCCAAAAGGCAGGGTCGAAGCCCGCCTTCTAAATGATCAAGATTGTGTCGATGAAGGCGTAAAACAGCTACGTCAAAACACAATTATCGGCGCACATTAAAAACTCTCGCTACCAATCTTCAATCTTCTTAGCCTACATTATAATCAGTCCCCATCCCTCCGTTGGACAACCCTTTTAATTGAGGAAGTTATGTTGTGAGTCGATAAACACTTCAGTAACAGAGACGTGGTTTAATGATAATGAGGAATGTGATGTTGCACTATATACTGAGTTCTTCCCTTCTAGATTCACGTGGGACACAAGTCACATTAGTCACTATTGAAACAGTCTCAGGTCATGATACCTATTCTGGGCGTCTTACTATCGTGAAAAAGAACTGATATCTCTGATGAGAGATAAAGAAAGCACACACGGACACAGAGGTAAATGTCTTATTTGTAAATTCACCTTCTACATAGATAAGTTAGGTACTAATAGATAACTGAATGTTAGACAAATACCAAAAACAGAGCTTACTTCTGTGTCAGTTGGATGTTGTGTGAACAAAGCGCGTTATCCTTTGAGGTTTGTAGCTTTCTTGTTCTTGAGATGAGGAAAGTGCTTACACTTGGTGGACTAGACTCTTTTATTGCAGAGATTTAGCATGTTAAGCATTGTAACTTTCAATACTTTAAAATCAGACATTGTGTATATGTGATTGCGGGGGAGTGGGGGGGGGGGGGGGGGGGTATTTATAAAAAATGTTACTTTTATATTACAGCGTTTGCCCTAAAAGTATATTCCACTCTTAAGTTCATTTTTAGTGTGCTCCCGATCATGGCATTGGGTATAATTCTTTATTTATGGAATTTCGACTTTTGAAGGATTTATATTGGCAAAGCTGTTCTTGATTTTAGTTGATCTTTGCTACCGACCAATATTGATGCCATACATTTACAATACTTCTTTTAGTAACGAAAGTAGGTTTAATATGGCTTGGCGTTCTCAATGACGATAAAATGTATTTATAGCACGTCGTTAAAGAACACGTTGCGCTACTAATTACTTTTGTCGGTTTGTGCGTAGTCAGTGACCCTGTTTTGATCTCGTTTTTAATGTCATTTACCACACGCGGAATCTTCTCCTAATTTCATGTATCGGTACTTATTCTGGTAAAATGTTTTCCATCCTTCACTTCGCTTTCTTCCTTCACATAGAACAAAAGTGGGCAAAGTAAGGCCCGCGGGCTGAATGTGGCCTTAACAGGGT